TGTGCTTACTTCCTTGCTCCCAATCTTTTTTTTTTTTTAGAGCTAATGTGAGAAACAACAACAAACTTCCAGAGAGAGTTGTAGGCACTGTGTAACTGCCTCGAGGGTGCTTGACCATTTTAACACAACGTGGTGCGATCATCCCCCTTGCGCGGAGCGAGGGTTCTCGACCCCGCACAGCATGATCTACTCGACCACCATTATGGTTACCGCCAAAAAAAAAAACGGAGGAAAAAAAAAAAACCGGTAACCTGGTTGCCCGAGTTCACGAAGTGAATTGGCTTGTTTTACATCGTCGTTGCCAAGCGACGAAAACCCAACCCCGATGGCAAACAACGGGAGGGGGGGTGCCTACAGGGGTGAAGGATTGAGGATGCAGGGGCGGTCTTGGGGTCAAAAGGTCATTTGCTTGCTGTAGGATCGCGTGAGAATCGAAACAAGCAGCGTGCTGTTCTTTCGAGCTCTGTGGAGTCTGTTCCTGCCAAATATGTGAATCTCATCCCGCCGCTGCCTTGATCCCGCCTTTTCACCCCCTTTTTGGTTGCAGGGACATTGTTCCGCCATCAGCAAGGGTGATAGCCCCAGCAACAACCCTGTCTTTGGGTTGCGACAAGAGTATCGCACCGGCCCAGAAAGCGTAAGTCGACGTTTTCCCCTATCTTCCAGTGACCCGTTCGCACTGGCTTTCACAAGGCCACACGAAACAAACGAAGCGGGCCCCGCTCGTAGCCTAGACGGCAGTCCGTTGCAGTTTGTACTTGAGCACGAAATTTGTCCCGTGCTTGGCCTCGCGTGGTGTTCTGATGAATGTCGGCCCCTTCACTTCGGCTTGAAGCGCTACCAGCCGCATTGATGGCTCCAACAAACAAAGAAAAATCACTGTGTAGCCAGCTTCATGGAACAATATCGTGGTCAACTGTCTGCGCTTTTCTCGGACGCTACACTGCCGTAGAGCAGATTGAGGCACAATGCGTGTATGTGCTTGGATTCACTTCTGTCTGCATGGTCAACCAACCATTTGGCTGGACCGATCCATGCCGACAGCAGCGGGTACACGGCCGCCCGCCGTTTATCTGCACTGGCTACATAGAGCCATTGACACACCACATCGCTTGCGGAGTACGGCTATTGTGTACACATCTAGCAATTCAAGTAATGCATGCTGTGAGCGGATCGATAACCTCAACTCTCAACTGCTTTGCGTTCCCTGCGCCTCTCCAGCGGATGGACATGACCAGCACGGTCATGATCCGGGTCGAAACCCTCGACCGCTTTTCCTCCGAGCATCGAGCCGTGGGGTACGCTCTCCTGGCGATATTCATGGACCCATCTGGAAATCAGGTCCGGTCTAGTACACAGTCGGCGGCTGAATAAGCTCCACTTTGTAGGTTATGTTCCACTCAGTCTTTCGAAGGAATTCAAACCTCAAGTCGCCCTTAACGTTCCCCTTTTCGAGACCACACTCTATTCAAACGTCCCAAAGGAAATTACGCTGAAGCCTTCTCTGTGCGTCTCGTGCAACCCCTGGTTGCCTCGGCTCTGGTCGCACTCCTTCCCCTATCTCCGCGAACAACAGCCGACCAATGCCAGTGCTGACGGAGCCTTCTTGCGGGAGGGGAACTATCAGGTACTATGTCAGCGTCCATCTTTCGGGGCACCGCGTCCTACCCAGAACGAGCGTCTGTCGGTCAGCCCCGTCGCACGTGCGGGCTTATCCTGCGCATATGCTTTCCCAAAGCTAGACGGCGCTTATTAATAGCTGAGTCCGGTTCTTCAATGAAACGGACACTGTGGAGCGTATGGAACCAGCAACTCGACCTTGCTTTGGAAAACAAGAGTGTTCTCCGCATTGCGCACGCGGAACTTTGAATGAAAAAACGGGGACGGTAAGAGACCGCAACACTCGCTTTACATACGATACGCTGGGTTGCTACCCAGGTGCCGATATACCGAAAGCCCCCACCCGACATGCGGCGGGTGACGTCACAAAGCCTCGACAGGTGCCTGAGGGTCCCGTGTGCCAGTGTTCTGGTGAGAAAACGTACGGTTTCTGTTACGGCATTGATGCCGGTGCTGGTAGAAGGACCGTGTCCAGTGCTCCGCCCGTTGTTGATGTTCTGTTGGCGACTATGCTTTCTATGCTTTCAGTACGGTTGCATCTAGTACTGCCGTTGCTATGCCTAGCACGAGCACATTACATCGTGATGACCGTTCACTCGCGAAACAAATGCGGCTCGTTCGTAGACTTGGCGATGTATCTTGGCCTGCTCGCGCATGCTACGGAGGGAGTCGGGGCAACACTAGACATAGCGGTACGGACTCCTTACATGTTCTCTGCTACTTAACCGCGTGCCGATCAACCACAATGTACTGCGCCGTTTCGCCTCAATAAGGTTCGGGTGAAGCCGGCTTCGAAGTCTTCGGCGGGGAAAACTCTAAGCAGAGCGGATGTTCCAGAAGACGAATGGAAGCATTTCGGACTTGCGCCACCTATTCCCCAGGTTCGAGAAGCAACCCCCCCCAGAGAAGAAAATGGAGTCGAGCAGTGCTACAGGAAACGGTCGATGCGATATGGGGAAGTGAGATCCAGGTTCCCCACATCCTCAGAGGGTTCCGTTGACAGTAACAAGTCTTGATTGATCAACAAGCTGATAATTTGTGGTTGGGATTGCAGTCAAAGCCAGCAAAGGGGCTATTGGAGACGAGGGCCGAGCTTTATCGATACATCAGGGTACCTGAGAGGAAGTGCATGTACTCTAGATGGCTTTGTACTAAGAAATGGTCGATGTTTCGAGGCCGTTCACGTCGATTGGTGAGATCAAAGCGTTCTGCGACCTCTCCTCGGGCGACCAGAACAGTTATCAGCGACTGGGTAGTCGTGTTTGATCCCGAATTTTGGTTTCTGAGCGGTCTTGTTGGTACCCCAAGTGGGAATGGGAGAATTGTCTTGGCGTCTGCCGCTCAATGTCGATCATGTGTTTCCCTCTTCTGACTCTACAGTTCGCCCCGGGCGTGTACGACAATTCGGACCTCCAACTGACGGATTTGGAGAGGCAGATACTGGACGTGAGGTCGAAAGACACGTACGAAGAGACAGTGAAGGAGGCAGTAAAGCTGATCAACTCGCCTGACGTAAGTTCGAACATGTCCTCTCGAGCTCACGTCCTTCCACCCGAAGCACGAATAAACTTCCATGCGCGCTCAGATTCGAACCACATGTATCAACGTATGTACAGTAGCTCATTCTATCCACTGCACGTTGATCCACTACAGTGTGCACGAAACCGTCATCCCCCACGAACCTCGGCCCAACCATTATACAGTGACATAGTTAACTCTGGGAGGTGAAGGTTTTGGATTCAGGTCTAAGTTTTTTTTGGATTTCATTTAATTTCTTTATGTCTTCGCGCGAGTTTGTGGCGCGTCCATTATGCGTCTGCGGCCATGAACGAAAAAACCTTTTCATTGAGACTGCCCACATAACGCAGGAATTTGGCATTGAAGAGACGAGACCGATTCCCATGGAGCGAGTGCGTTTCAGCCGGAACGACAGAGACGGCTAGACACGCAACCGATGGGTGGACTTTAAAAATCAACTGCGCCCATCCGCTGGACCTGCCACGAAACTCATCTCTCCCTCTCCTTCTTGGCGAACAAAACTTACGAACTCTCGTCCACTCAAGGACTCGACTTGACGCACCTACCTACTCTGATTTTTTCCGTCTATTACACATCGATGTGCGCGTGTCTAACCCTAACCCTTGCCCTATTCCACCCGCTCCTTTCCCGGCGTTGGTGGCGGTAGAACCCAGCCCCAGGCTCCGATAGCGACTCTGACGACGATACGCTCGAAGAGTGGGCGGAGAGCATGATGGCCAAGAAACCAACCAAGGTCCCGTATCGTGTCGTCGCATGCCATAAGATATCGTGCCATCCGTGCTAGTCCCAGGGAAACCGAGGAATCTGTTCAAATGAAAGAAAGGAAGCTGTTTTGAAGTCACAGAACCACGGTTGGGTCGTACGCGCTGGAATCTCTTTTGCCTGCGAGGTGGGGGGACTCAGGGCGCGCTTTCGTTTCAGGATTATTCCTGTTTGAACCGACGATGTCCGCCGGCATGGTCTCATTCAACACGGGGGATGAAGATAGCCAATTTTGACCAGTTTTGGATGCTGCGGGTGCATCCGTGGTAGGCGACAGTCGGCCGGTCTAAAAGGAGGATATTGACGAAATTGTCGTGCTGATCCTACGTGGCAATTACCGAGGCGCATGTTACAGGAGAAATCGTAACGAAAATATGGACGAACCACTTGCCAACGAACAACCACCATGGTGCTTTCTGTCCCGTTTGGACCGCTGTGGACCCGATTTCTGGATAACAAGATGGTCGAATATCACCGCTCGGAGAAGTACAGGCCAGATCAAGGCTTCAGCGTGGTTGTGGCGGGGCTGACGAACATGAAGCCACCCGGCGCCTTCAAGGCGGCCAGGCTCTTCAAGGTGTGGGACAGACTTCGTGCTTTAGAAAGCATGATTAAACTACAGTATTGAACTACCAGGACACGTTATCCAATTTCATCCGGACCGGGTTCACGAGGTCACGAAGTGTCGCATAAAAGCATTATACTCGACCTGCGAGTATCAAAACTTTTCTGCTGGTGGCCGGGATAGACCGAGGCCTTGCATACTATAAAAATCTGGACGCCCCACGAAATGGTAACGGTACCGACGAAGTCGTGAGTATGGGGTTCATGTAGAAGAGATACATCTACTGTGCACCGCGGTAGAAAAAAGTATGGGAGTCTGCATCGCTCTGTAGCCGGTGTGATTAGGCAGAGGGCACAGACTGTTGTACTCTATCACTGCTCAGCAGAACGTTCTCGAAAAACACTTAAAAGCCTACCAGCGTAAGCAAGGTGGAACGCTGGGAGAAGGTTCTGCAAAATGATATGGAGTGATCAACCCAAGAGAGATGTTCAACCTGTCGACCAACTTTAATTGCAGGTAATCTACTCGCTGTTGATGCCGGGACTGTTCTACATGGAAGACCTTCCCGCGTCAGATCAAGCAGAATTTACGCATACGTACGACCCCCGGTCGCCACAGGTGAGGGAGGCCGAAACATCAAACGCAAGGTCAAGGCAGAGCACCGCGTGCTGGGAGACTCGTTTCTGAAACGCCGAGAATTCGTGTTCGGGCGCACCAAATCGCGCCTTGTTGTTCATTGCGACATTATTGCAGCAACTAGTAGGGTGGGAGGCGATCATGGGCTTAGCAAGGTTCTGATGAGGAGAAGCACGGGTTTTCAGAGTCACTACAGTAGTAGTTTCTCCGACTTTGAGGGATACGTCCATCTTGTTCGCCTCCTCGTAAGTTTCCCACCTCCGTAAATGCCGTTGTTGGCGCCTCAATGGACCGTCTTCCAATGACGCATATCGTGGATCTCACGCGTCCCAGCTGGCGCCTCGCTTCAAGGATCCTCCCCACGCTTTCAGGAATCAGCCCATCAACAGCAACCAGTTCATCGTATTGGACGTTCGCTTCCTCAAGGTTGGTGGCTTATCCTGCAGTCTACTTGCATTCAAGAGATGTTTCGACGGCAGTGAATACTGGCGGAAATTGACGACCGCGTACAATATTCACAATAATTCTTGATTCAGACGCACACGATGGTGGCAGTGACTACAGCAAACCAATTCCACCCATTCTGCTCACGTCGAGCTCGAAGCATCCCCTTGTCTGTTTGCTCTCATGCCACACCTGCTCAAATGTACGTCGACAGGTTGATGTGAAGGAAAACGCTGCAGTACCGGAAGAACCATGTGCCGCACCCGCCAGCGGCGCGTGGGGGCTTCTCCCCGCATTCTCTTCCGGAGACGTGGCCACTGGTATCTGCGTGTGATACCCTGCATTAGTCTGATTTCTAGGTAGAGTCTCGACGATTCTTAGCCTGGTATGACCCGCGTTCAGCCGCTGACTGCACATGCGATGGTACAATTGTATCTACACAACTATGTGAATGAGGAGCTGCATACGTAGACTATGCACCCACGATACACGGCCACAACCTTAAGCCAAGTGCCATGTGCTTCGTCGAGAACCGGGGGTCAGCGAACACACGGCACAGGAAGGGGTCCAGGCACCAGTGTACTTGGCGTAAGAAAATCGCGAGGCTGGTTCGATCCGGGCAATACTCACATCTTCCCGGATAAGCTATACCCTGCCTGTCTTACTTCGTTGCGATGCCCACGACGCCGCAAGGGAAAACGTTTGGAGTTTACCTTGGTGGCTGAGATAGATGTAATGCGGGATCCATGGGAGATACTACTGTAGCTTGCTGAGAGGAGCAGATGCCACGATGGCTTTGATGTGTTCTCTGCGGTGAGCAGCAGGTGACTCGAACATCATCTTCAAGTTGCGAGATTTGTTTGTTCCCCTGAGGCACTACTTTCCTGTGGCAACCATTTTCCACCTCACGAAGCGCGATTTAAACCTTCCCTACGCCAATGAACTGCATTGCACACATGTCAAAGGATCGTTCATGGTGCCATTACTATCCGGACCAGTCCCCGTCGAGATTTTAAAGGCAGAAAACCCGTTGAAGATGATGACAGAGAAAGCCAAGGCCAAGCATCCCGGTTTCCGCGTCCTTGAAGGTATCGCCGTACTTGGTTGCCTGGTTTTGGATACGTCGGCCTGGGTTCACCTTCGTCAAAGAGGTCTTGGATTCTTACAGCTGCGTGTGCTCGCTATCATCGCCTTGTATGGGGTGAACTGCGACCGGGCATATCAATCCTCCAAACTTTTGCTCGTCTCCCGTACCGTTTCCGGTGTTTTTTGTCCAGGCTCGTCGGTCGTGGTGCAGATTTGCAACTCACTGTTAGAAAATGTTCTTCCTGCTGCTACGCAAGACCCTGCACTCAACTTCATTGGCGTGAAGCGCGTTACGGACGCCCTCGGAGTTCAGCAGGTTGGAACGAGCGTGCATGTTTTCACCCCAGGCATACGATGAATGTTCGTGTTCTGTCCGCCTTGTCGGTAGTCTCTCTGACTCAGCCTCTCAAGCATATCTTGCCTCGTGTCGAAAGTGTTGTGGTAAACGCCTTGAAACTTGCACGTATCAACAGCATCTCGCGCGTAGGAGTGCCACAGCACGCGGAATCCAGGGGAGCGAGGGCGATCTCCCAATGCCCTCATGTTTCGCCACCCTTGCCAAAAGGTCGCGTTCTACCATTCCTGCCCCGTTAATTCAACACCACGCAGATCCTGGTTCGGGGATACTCTCACTAACGGGGCACTGCTTCTCTGCAACCTGCTCATCTCTCGCAATTATCGGCATCTGAGGGATTTTTCTTCATTCGAAATTCCCCTTTCAAATGCGTCCACCCAAGACCCCAATATTGCTGGCCTACGTGCCGTTTCCGACCTTTCGTTTGCCCGTCCGCGGTATTGTCGACGGCAACATGCCGATCTCCGTCGGGGACATCAACAGGATAAATACGTTTTCGACCACATCGCTGATGCCGGGCATAAGTCCGTGGGCAGGCTGGTACCGAAGAGCTTCAAGGGGGGGATAGAGGATTTCTTCACGTCCACCAATGTCCGCTTCGCTACCGCAACGGGCATACCGTTCGTCGCACGACCTGGAGAACTTCCCAAGGGTCGTTCATGAGCAAGTGTTATATTTGAATCAACCTCTGAACGCAGTTTGATGCATGCTTGACAGTATGGCCATTCACCCCCATCCAACGTTCAATCGGACGGGTCGGATGCGCACTCAGGAGACGTCTTCGTGCCAGGTAGATTTTTCAGGTTAGAAACAGAGATAGATCATGCTCTACGTCCAAGGGAGGGAAGAGTGAAACGCCCTTGTTTGGTGGGAATGGTAAGGGTTAGGAGTCAGCCGGTAGAACGGTCAGGATTGTAAAACGTTGACTTCGTGGCCGAACCGGTGAAAACACTGCCCACAACAGCAAGTAGTGTTCGATGTACCCAGGATACATTGGGATATACGCCGACTCGGTCACGAAATAGTAGGGCCCTAAGTTCGAACTAGTGTACGCTCCGGAAAAACAAGGACGAGGGCGACTTCGATGTCCACCTGAGGTCCGATGAATGATCTGAAACAATCAAAAGTGCGCATCACTTAGGTTCGCCCACATTAGCGTACACAAAAGCATACGCTGCTACTAACATACGGCCGCTCGACACTCAGCTACGTCCATTCAACAACGACGTCATCACCTGCTAGCTAGCCTTGGACGATAGACCTCGTCCGACCCTGCTGTGGCTGTGTGCCTGCGCCGTTTGCTGATGTGCCACTAAAAAGTATGAGCTTCATCATAGCCCGAGCTCGAACACGTGCATTAAGCTCATCGAGGTTTACCTGCTACACACACCGCCACCTACTGCACGCCCTCCACAGAGGATAATTACCAGCAGCAGCACCACCACCATGGCCCTCAGTGTTAGGGGCCGCATCGGTGCACTGCCTAGAAAACAACGCCCTCCCGGGACTACGTTTGTTCGTCCTTCCGTCCGTCTGGAAGTCTCTCAAAGACGCTTGACCGCTGTTGACACAATCCGAGCAGTGATGTGCCGCACCAGAGAGAGCACACAACCACCATGTTCCGCGTGAACTGGTCTTTTGGTTTCAGTCCCTCGGGGGATCTGGTTCCGGTTGCTCGTCACCTCTCCTTCTCGGGCATTGGAACGCCCCGAACGAGCCTGTCAAGGGCAGCCTCGGCCATCTCGGCGAGGTCCGTCTTTCCCTTGGCCGTTAAAACCCGGGAGAAAACCAACATCTTTTCCTTCGCCTGGGCTCCTCGAGCTCGCTCGATGGTGTGCACCTGTCCAACCCCGCGTGCGCGCGCACAGACATGGGGTGGTGCCATGAAATAAGTCGCCGCCGCAGCAGCGCGCGCACACACACATGGGACGGTGCCACGAAATTATTCACTGTCGTCGCTGCCGGGTGTGCTAGCAGAGCACGACACCGGCATATGCTCGTGGCGAGGAGGAAGCCAGCTAACCCAGAACACCGGAGAGTAATAGTGGGTCAAAGGATGACACCCCGGACCGCAAAAAGGTGTATGGGAGCTTGTCAATACTCTTTCCTGGGCGGCAGTGGCGACTAGCGAATAAGGGAAAGGGTTGTTTGGAAAGCAGCAATGTTGGATCGCGACGGAAACAAGATGTGGACGAAACCTACCAACTGCAGATTGAGAATACGATTCGTCATAAGCGTATCCCCCCTCATTGTCGGTGATCACGACATCCAACACATGCGTTCGTGTGCTGCTGTGGACCCCTGCTGTGCACAAACGTACCCTTCGTGCGAGGCTGACATCGGACATCGTCCGCACGCGGTGAAGGCAGTGGTTGTAACTCGCTGTACCCGCCTTGGCTTCATCTCTGGCATCGATGAGACCTTTCAACACCTGCACAAACAGCCGTACCCACGGGTGTCGAAAAGTTTGTTAACTCGTGGTTACAATTGCTCCGCAGCTAAATGGTCAGTGCACCTCACTGAGTCTAAAGGCGAGAGAAGGTTTCACCAACCACACACGAGCCTCCTTCCGCAGCCCGGCGGAGTGCACACGGGGCGTGATTTTTTCCTCTCGTCTCTGACGTCGGCCTTGAACAACCTCACCTCCATCCTCTCTTCGGCTTCTTCTGGATCCAGCTCCGGCCCGTAGTCGTGTCGAAACGATGAAGGTGCTCCTCCTGACGATAGAGAGCAGTACAGGCAAGGGGGGGACAGTTAACACGATTAGACTAGAATGTTGCGAAAACAGGAAGGGCTACACGCCACCAGAGTCTGCAAAAACAAATTCCGTTTGTCTGCTTCGCCTCAGTTGCGCGTTGACCCATGTTTTGCGATATGTTTCCGAGATGTCATGTATTATCATTCAAGCTGGTGATCAAAAAATAACTTCTAACCGCAACGACGTGAAACCACGACCGCAACCCCGTCTGGTCTGACTCGCTTCGTACGTCTGGTCGTGCCAATAAATATCTCCCCACTAAATAAAAAATGGTACCCTTTAAATTTTTTTGAAAATAATAATTTAAAAGATTTAGACAAAAAAATTTTAAGTCTTCTTTTATTACAAATTAAAAAATAAAATAAAAAAAGAGAAAAAAGGGATTTAAACCCTCAGCTTTAAGCTTGGCAAGCTTACACTCTACCAAATGAGTTACTTACGCTTTTCCTACTCTTCATAAGGAATAAAACAAACTTACAGACCATTACCAAGAGCTACAACTTCATTTTTTTGTTTTTGTCGTAAAATGAAATTACAATAATTGGAGTGGAAAGGGTGGAGCCGATCGAGGATGGCCCCAAGACCCCAACCGACAGTACCGGAAAAATGATCCTATCTCGCGAGGCAGGTCCTACGGTTCCGGTGGTCCGTTCCATCTACAGCGGCGCCGTGGCCCGGTTGCGCTTGCGAGCGCTTTCCGGCTTCGGTAAACTTACGTGGAACCGCCACAGAGTCCTCGATGTTCTTGAGGGTGTACACCCTGCACGTGTCCATGCTCGACTTCAATCCACCTCCCCTCCCTCTAGACAATCAGATCCGAAATCACTCGTCCGGCTGCCAGTACTACGGCACCTCCTATGCGTAGCGAATGCGACGAGCCCCGCTTGTGATCCCTCCCTGCTCTCTCGGCAATCTGGAGAATGGCCCTAGCCGCTTGCCGAAATTCCCACACATTAACCGAATCCCCGACATTAACCGAATCCCCGACCCTAAATGGTCATTCATGTACATTGTGTTGGCCAGTTGAACTCCCCCCCCCCCGGATGACTCTTTCCTTACCCGGCTTGGTTGTTGCACGCGCAAGGCTGGAGATCCACGTGCCAGGTATTGCCACCAAGTCTTGGGGATCCGCCGCTTTGCTTCTTAGTCGCTTCGACGTTCGAGACGGTGCCGTCCTCGAGGCTGGGTCCCGTGGTCGCTTCGAGGGCGAGCGCTTCTTCTTCGCCGCTGCCGCTGTGGAAGGCGCTGTCTGTCCTTGCCGTTGAGGGCGAGGCGTGATTGTTCATACCATGTCAACAAATTTGCAGTCAGGATGGTAACAATGGGTGCGACTCGCCGCCTGGAGCGAGATGGTCAAAACATTCCGAGTTGTCTCGAGTGTCAAGTGCCACACCTCGCAAGGAAGCACACCAAGGCCATACCGGCGCCCGAGGACAGAGCATCGTAACCACAGCAGTGGGCAGCAGACGGTCGAAAAATCGCATCGCGGCAAGGAACTAAGGGAAGTCTACTACTCACGTCTCTGTCGGCTACGAATTCGAGAATGTTGCCCTCGCCCACCCCCCTTCCCACCGGGAGGATTCATAATTTGGTAGGCAGGAAAACGTTAAAACGCGTCCAATTGATGAAAAACCGCCTGTTGTTTTCGTTTGGTTCGCAGGAGCCTTGGTCGGCCACTCTTCCTCACGCAGGGATATGATGCGGTACAGCAGCACGGTGATGCCGTTCAGGATATGTAGCATCCCACTGCCAATGCGGAGGGTCTGCCTGTGCATCCATTGGAGATGCACCAGCATTCTTCAATGGAATGTCTAGACTACACGCTATATCAACCATTTGGGCTGGGTATCCTGCGCATCTGCAGTGCCGTGAGAAACGCTCTGCAAGATTGTGCTCCGTGTACTCCCTGCTCACACTTCCCATACACAGCTGCCTCCACACACCCATGCATACCTTTAGAGCACTGATCGACAACTTTGCCATAAATGCCTCATTTCGTTTGATTCGAGCTAGTCGAGCGAGCTCGTAATCGGAGACTTCAGCGTCGCCCTCCTTTGCCGTTGCATGGTCTTCTTGCGGACCGAGAATTTTCGACTTTCCACGCGCCATGTGGTGTGAGCGAGGCTAGCACAGCAGTGGAGTAAAAGAGGAGAGAGATGTGGGCCGGGTGTGTACCCAAAGTTGCCAGTATGGAGTTCAAAAAATCAAAAGTCGGGGTCACGCAACTTGGAATGATATGGTATGTCTGTTCCCTCGCTCTACCCCGCCCCGACACCGTCACCGCACGCTGTAGACCAGTACACCAGATTCTTGGGGCACTGCACTGGAAGCGTTGCCTATGACAGCTGATAGAGGCAGAGGCAAACTGCGAGCGTTTATCTAGAGTGTAAGGGAAGGGCGACCAGCTGCGGAATCGGTGCGCGAGGGGGAAGGAGAAGACTAACACTGCTGGCTCAAGAAATTCGCCGAGATTTTGCGTACCTCTCCAAGGTTATCGAGAGGGGGAAGGGGCAATGTCGGAAGAAGTTGCCCTGGTCAAGGAAGAGCTGGCGCAGAAGCAGCAGGCACTAGAAGCCCTCCAGCGAAACTTCGATGACTTCCAGGAGTCCAGCCGCGAGCTGGAAGAGGAGCTAGAAGCTGAGCTGGGCAGGGTGAGGAGCTAGCTTTGGTCGCTGCAGAGATCGAAACCAGAGCAGGCAGCACACGTTTTTTGTCTGTTTGAAAAAGGACCGTTGCTTGCAATCCGTCCGCACCGGAGTGCTCTGCAGCACAGGCAGCACAGGCAGCAGCAGCAGCAGCAGCAACAGCAGAGAGAAGATTACCTTTCGCTCGTTGCCGTCGGCTACATCGAGCCGGCGATCTATGCCGATCACCCGGAACCGTTGGCCTGCGGACCACTGCTACAGCAGTATGCCTGATACAGTTGGACTATGCATACAGTAGTGTACTTTTGAAATATAATAGTAATTTTCTCATTTTCCAACACAAAAAAAACTTGAAACGAAATTGGGGTTGGGGGTTGTCAAGAGCGTTGCCCAGAAGAAAAACCTCAGCGCAAACGCCCAGCATTTGTCGAGCTTTTTTTCGTGCAGCTGCACGTATCTATTTGCCGCCTACGCCACTTATTTATCGAGTGAGACTGTTTAGGTGATGTATTAACTTCACGAGAGGTCGACGACCGTCCTTCACACAGACGAAAGAGGGAGTGACCCGCGTGAGCAGCTCCTACACCAGGAGGGCACGGGGATTGCAATCCCATACACCTATGCTAATAAATCACGATAAGGCGAAATCCTGGGGGAGGGGGGGGGGGGGGGGG